TTCCAGCGGCTTACCGATGAGGTCTACCGTGACCCTTGCCCCAGTTCCTCCGCCCTGCCAGCACACCAGCGTATATGCGCAACGGCGTGTGTGCTGTGTACACCTGTAGTTGCAGCTGCTATACAGCAGTCAGCGCTGTGTCACTACACATGTATCGAATAGATTAGCACGGTTGGCTACATACGGTGCGAAAGAAGTTCAACATACATATATAAAAACTAAATATATATTTTCGATTTGTATATGAGTGTATACAATATGTCGAGTGCTTAACTCACATGACGGATGCAGCCACTATAGGTGCTACATTAACCACAGCATCAATACAATAATCAATTCTTGCCTTCACCTCTGATCTTGACAATACAATTTTAAGGAGGAGGAGCAAGTTTTACGTGGATATTGTATACGTGTAAGTAAGAGATTGAATAGTTGTACAGTACCGATTTGTCGATGGGTCATTATTCTGTGTTGCAATCTTGGGCATGTGTGTGTAGAACTCCAGGCATCCACATGTGATTAAACTGGGTTCTTCACAAAAACAAACAAGAAAACCCCCCATTATATTAAATTCTGTCCTGCACGTAATTTGGTTAAATGACATCGATGAGAAAAAAAAAGTATCGGTTTGACTGTGCGGACCACAGGGCTCTTGAAGTGATTCCAGAGGTAGTGCTGTGGTATCCACTTCTGCGGGTCATTCTCCAACGAGAAAGGGTTGCGCTGCCCTGCGAGAGATCCGAATGGATTTTTCGTGTCGTGATCTTACGCCGATAGCTTGACCCCGCCGCGCAATGATTGGGTGAAGGCGGCAGTGACGACGAGACGAGTCTATTCCCAGAACCGACAGCCCGAAGCTCTCGCTCTACGCTGCTTTTATTCCCCTCGGCACCTGGATAAAATTCGGGGGGGGGCGGGGAGATAAAGGATAAATGGGATATGTGAAAGGCAGTGCTGAGGCACAAACCTGGCCAGGTGTGCAAATTGCTGAGCTGGCTTTAATAGGTGGCCGGCAATAGCACTTGCTTTGGCCGCTATCCAGCCTGACAGGGAAGGATGTTTCACTCCATATGTATCCTGTGTACACTATTGCCCGACAGAGCACGTCATTCAGGCTGAGAGTCTCTTGTAGGGCACCCTAGTGTGTGTGTGTCTTGTGTGCGTCTGCTCAGGATAAGTTTAAGCTGATATGAGCACGCCAGGCCACTTCGTAGCATGGCTGGCGAGGTTATAGGATGTAGGTGTCTCGGGGGAGGAAAACCTGTCAACCCCTTATCAATGCCTACCTTATTGCAGACCAATTCAGACTTTATTGGTCATCACGTGCCCTTAAACATCTCAACATTCATCCTACAAAGTCCCATCACAAGGGAGAAACACAAACAACTAGACAATTTTTTTTGCCCGTATCGAAACGGCTGTACGCCTTGTGGACCTGTACAAGAAAACGGGTATGAGTTGACAGGTGTGGGATACGATGGAGATTTGGGCAACGCATGAGAGACGGAATGGATGATGGTCGATGGTCATGAATAGCGACGGCCAAGCAAATGGCAGAGTCGTAGAGGAACTCCAACTTAGAAGTGCAGAATTGCAAATCGGCTCAAGTGCAGTTTTTGGCTCGGATTGTTAACATCGCAGAATCAAGAGGCATCGCAGAATCAAGAGGCCTTGATCCAGCAGTGGATTGATCGTGGCCGATGGTTATCGGAGACAAAAGTTATGGAATGGTGAGAAGGGGAAGCGAGGGAGGGAGGGAGGACGTTTGAATGAACCCACCACACCTGTGGTCCGGGGCAATGGCTGGTATGCTGGGAAGGTTAACTGTCGTGATTGATGCATGGAACTCCATCCCCTTGGGGGTGATTCCAGACATCACTGGCACTGCGTCTCCCAGTACAAAGTCCAGCTCTTGTGTATGGGAACACTGTAATGCTGTCGGCAGTGGAATATGAAGAGTGGCCAAAAAAGGCCGATGTAAAACACCCCGTAATTATGTCTGCACTGTACGTGTATATTGAGCGAGTCTAGGCGGTGTGCGTTATATGTAGGGCGGTAGCACTGAGGATTTGACTGAGATTGTGAAGTCAGTCACGACAGTTTCTCACTGCATACCTTTCATGATGTCTTCTCTTGTATGCGAATATTTTTTCATTTATATATACTGTATATTATCCCAAAATATGCTGGTCATGCTCCCGAAAAGAGTGACATTGCATAGCACAGCATTGCACAACATCAACAGCTGAAATATATGGCGTTTATCAAAATGTAACAATTGATGAGAAGCTTAGGCTGGTTGTACCACATGCAAAAAAAAAACATTATCTGGTTATCAACATTCCTAAGGATAGTTTCTGTCCATTAATGGGTTTCATTCGATTTAGTTCTTATCTGCTGAACTATTATTAGTAGCTGGCCACTTTGTATTAAAGGCCTCCGGGTCTGTGGCTTAGCAACTGGGATACAAAATATATATATATATATCAGTGTCTAAGTTTCATGAAAGTCAACTTGGGTCAGAATTTACTGTAACTAACTTCACAAGTGTTCTCTGGGAGATGGCGAGCGTGTACAGAAGTTTCCAGTAAAAGTCTCAGAGCGACTGCACTTATAATTTATCACAATGCTACGATTACACTGGTCAACAAAACATTTTTTTTTCTGGCCTGGACTTTTGCAGCTGTTTTAGACTAATTTCAGGGTGCTGATTCCAAATCTGATCTCAGATTTTCTCTATTACATCTCATTTTTATGCTATCGGCATACCCAATTTTCATTGATTTTACCCGAAATTAACTCTGTCACTTATGATTGCAAGTTTTTGCGAGTCAGCGACTGCTTTAGTGTTAAAATATGGTGCTGTATTTTTAGGATAGTGTGTTTATAATATAATTTTATGTAGATATCCACATTTATTTAATATTTTTCTTCTGCAGTTTTGATTGAAAATGCAATATTTGATATCGCAAAAACCTGATGTGATAGACAAAAACTGATGCCAGATTTGGAATCAGCACCCCAAAATATACCTTAAAAACCCTTGGAATACCTTATGCCGGAAAAAAAGTGTGTTGACCAGTGTTGTGTTGTTTGAGGACGGAGGCAAGGGGAGCGTGAGCTCTTATTTTTACGTCTCAAGGTGTGTCTCGGGGAAACACGCCAGCCCAGCAGTGTGGTTTTATCGACGTTTTTTTTTATTTTCCAGAGATCCCACTTCATAATAAATGTACCATCACGAGGGCCAAAAAAATATGCAACGCAATCCAATGTCCTCTACCCACCGCACGTAAAGCCCTCTCTCGCTCGTTTCTTTCGCCCTTGGTGGCTCAACGTTTTATCTTGCATCTCTCGCCCCTGCAAGACACAACGAGCTTGCGGAGATATTTGGAATGATGAGTCGAGCGCTAAAAAAACCCGCCCCAAATAAGTCTCCATACCAGACCCTGGTTTCGCCGGCCCCTCGCCTCGTCTGCGATGTAAACATTTGGCGATGTTCTTAGAGGAGTGCTAACACCCCCCTCCCCCGCCCTCTTACAGATCCATGATTTGTAATTTAATTCTCCATTGCTTCCGTGTGAATAGGTCAATATCTACTTAGTGAAGCTCGGGACGAGTCTAACAATCCTTAGCTTGGAATCGCGATTCAATTTTAAATAATCTGATATCACTCTGCGCGGAATCGTGGTATGGTGGTGGTGGTGGGTTTCGCGAACTGCGTGGGACATTCAGGCAAGCAGTAGCGGGCAGCTCCCGTGATTATTCTTGTCGCCCTATTAGAATTTCCACTGAAATGTATGACCGATGCTTATGTAACCCAGCCAGTGGACTTTTAATGCACAAATCTTCCATGCCAGAACCTCCCCCACCCCCAATTCAAGCGGAATGGGAATCACCCGATACAAAAATAATCCACGGGAGAATCGCAGGAGTATTCCAGCTCTAATGCTTGCATCATAGTGAACGTTCCATCCGGCGGGCCGGTGGCTGCACCCTGGGGGTTCCGATTGCAATGGGGGTTTGTAACTGCCCACCTACATTAGTCACTCTGTCTTCCACTGCTGGACAAAGGCCTCCTAGGGCTGGTGGCATTGTGTATGGGGCTTGTGCCAAATGTCTTAACGTTCTTCCCCAGCTGTCTCTGATTTCCCCCCTTAAATAGGTCGGTTACCAGCCTGTAGAGTTCAAAGGCTGCCGTTTCCCAGACAGTTTTCTTCTTGCTTGTCACAAGAGCGATGTCTTCCGTTTCTTCGTCTTTTCCACGTCTGAAAATATGAACACTGCAATGCTGACATTGCCTTTTGTAGCTGTACAAATGTGCGGACTCCCGGGACTCAAAAGGATGAATCAGCAGCCATTTGGGTTGCAGAGATTGAGCACTTTTCCACGCGTGTTTTTGTCTGTTATGCAACATTCATACACACAGTGGGCTTTTGTGTTGTTGATTTTTGTCCACAATTTGTACATTTACAAAAGTGCATGTAAGTGCATCCCTGAAATAAATTGCTCATGCACGCCGCCTGCAGAACCTCCATTAGAGGGAGTTCTAGTGATCCTCTGTAGATTGTATTTGGCCTACTCTTCTAACCCGGCCAGACGTATTAGAAGAACCCACATGCTACCTCAGCCACACGATCTGTTGTACCTGTTTATACTGATGGGGTGGATGGAAGCCAAGAGGAACTAAGAAACTTACACCACGAGATGAAATCAAACCGGCGACACCTGGATTGCAACTGGGAGTACAGTGTGCAAACTATTACACCACGGAAGCTCTCTTAATTTCTCAGTTTAATATGTAAATATGTTGTTCTCTGAAAGACATACATGTGAGCCGCTGAGGTCTTGATGGATTTAATATGCCTCTGAACCGCTCCCGTTCTGCTATTATGCGCAGCACCGACGCCTACTTTATTGAAGGAGATATTGGCACATAAAATAAAGATTGATATATGTCCACGGCAAACCCTTAACCATTTTTCGTGCAGTTCCTGATAATGCGAAAAAAACACTTTCGGGTTAGCTTAAGATACAACATAACGTTCAATGTGACTCTGTGTGTACCTACAGCAACCCCCGCCCTGCAAAGCAAAAGACCTTTACAGCGAGCCATAATGCCAAAAAAGAAACGGTCTTGCAGCACATGGAAACCGAGCGTGTCTTAATTTGTCTCCGCGGCGACACGGGCTCTGGCAATGCTTGCGGATAAAAAACGATCTGAGCGGGTCGCTCTCTCTGAGACAGACGCTCTTCTGAGGCCACTCGCTGTTTATCCTCGGCTGACAAACCTCCCCCGGTTAGTGTTTGGGAAACGTTACAATGCGGGGCTGAAGGTGGTTGGTGGCGGCTGTGTGCCAATGTGCTCCATCTCCTCCTCTCCTCGTGTATTTGCCAAGGCTTGTACCGTTTCCACCGCGCGGGGCCTTCTCGCATGAGCTAGCCCCAGGGAATGCTTGTTTGAAGGTGGAATCCAAACAACGACTTGCCGTCATTTCACTATAGATGTTACACTAAAGTGGAGAGGACAAAGCTGTGCTTTGTCTGCGGCGTTTCCAACCGTCTAAACTGGAGGGCAACACACTGGAAGGTATTGCGAGCCAATGTCTGGATGGTGAGACACCCTGCGGCACATAATACACAAAACATACATGAGTAAAAATCCGGACAGTATTAAAAGGGCTGAAGGAGCTTACTGGGATGCACTTGTCAACATCTCGAAAATAAATATCAGTTTTAAAAAAGGAACACCGCAAACCCATCCCAAAAATTGGCACGTACACACTATTGATGGCTTATTCAGATACTTGCGCTATTTCAATGGGAATATTACACTTTTTAGTCGGTCATATCACATAATTTAAATTAATCTACATTTTTCTACTCCAGCGATTGCCCAATAACATTAATGTATGTGGGAAAAAGACACTCAATATCGTTAGATGGAGAGGGTAGACAGGGAGGCTCAGGGGTACAAGAGCTCAGCTCGCACTAATGAGGTCCTGGATTAAAATTCACACTGGCACTTGTGATTAAACCGGGTTATTAACTGTAGCACAGCCGAAGGGCTCGTCCCGGTAACAGTGACTGCACGAAAACAACCCAAAGAGATGTTTCTTTCTGTACCCTATTCGAATTAATTTGCTAAATAGGTTTGACTTTCATGCAAAGAACATTTATCCGTAAAAGAGCATACGGGAAAGTCCACTCCTATTGTGTGAATTAAAAGAAGTCACTTGAAGGGTCCTCAGGATTTCCATGAAAACTTGCGCAGGCCAAATTGTAACATATGGTCTGTTCTCATCGATGTGTCCCTACCCCCAAAAATTCCTTTATGAACTATAAGTAAAGTGCATTATTTTCTACTCATTCTATTACGTTTAAATGTATTTGAAGGTTAATTATTTTTACCATCTGGAATGCCGAATAGAGAAATTCCTGAGAGTTTGACGTGCAAAAACATGTCAGTATTCAGAGCCATTTTTTGTAATACTTGCAAACATAAACACATCTAACGTGGCGCAGAGGGGGGGGGGGGGGAGTGAATATAATCACTATTAAGACGCTACAAAAAATGTGCCTGCAGTAGCAGAGCTAGCTCGTTAATTCGAACCCAGCCGTAATATTTTCCACAGAAGCCTTCCAACTCCCAACATCAAAAACCTACACGGAAAGACACTTTCGCGACTTGCGCAATAACATTCACAGCGCAGCCTCAAGGGACAATTGGGCTGAACATTGGAGTGCATCTATTCTAAATCTGCTTGCAGTAGAGATAACTAGTTTGGCCAGCAATTTATAGCTGTGCGTTGCTTCGGGTAGACTTACTAGAGTGAGTTTTTGGTGCTCATTGAGTTAATGGTAGATTGCTGCCTAATAAGATTGCCAAATAAAAAAGCAAAAGGGACATGTGTTTACATAATCTATAGAATTGTAATTTTGCCAAGCGATTGGAATGTAGTGCATGAGTTATAAACATTACTCTGTAAGTATGCACAGATCATGCCAATATCTCTATTCATGCCTGTTTATAGAATAAGCCATATACGTTATGTAACAAAGTTTAAACCCAGATTAAACATTTAAATTAATTTAAAGACAAACACGCTAAAACAAAGTAGTCAACAGCTACGCTTAAAACGCATTAATTTAATTTCAATAAATAGCATAAATAATATAGAATACATAATTCAAATGCAATGCAGAGCTCTAAACACCTGTTTTTCACGTCATTAGTCGATTTCAGGGTGCACTCTGAAGATTCCATTTCGATAAAATCATGCATAGCTGTGGCCTTCAACACATGAGTCATCATAGAAATAACACTATAGCGTAATGTTGCAGTGCTACACAAGGCAAATATTGATTGGCATTAACAAACCAGAGTGACCTCAACTTTACCCATGTTCATTTAACAGTTTATATACCACCGTTACGTTATTTAATTGCAATAACTGCATGCAAAGCATCCACCAAACTCTAAAAAATTGCTTCACAAAAAAAACCGCATGCATTTCACCTGGATGAACAGCATGTTGGTGACGCACTAGCATGCTATGACAAACGAGCACACATTTTCACCTCCATAAATTAAAACGCCTGGAGAGCACAACAGTTGCGAAGTCCCGCTAGTCAACATTACTCTCGTTTTCATGCATGATGACTGCTGTTTCAACCAGAGGCCTCGGTGGCCCCTGAAGCGCCAACTTGTGCACATTCCCGTCCTTATCTTCCTCGCAGCCCACATTGCCACCATCATCATAGCCGTCATCTTCATCCTCGTCATCATCCTCGTCAGATCCAGTATAGCTCTCGTCGTCGTCATCGTCGTCGTCATCATCCATGTCCTCGTCCATTTCTTCCTCATCCGTGAGTGTGGCATCTTGTCCGCCCGTGCCGCTCGGCTCGTACGCGAGATGCTGCTTCAAAGCCGCCACCTCGTCACCGTCGCCATCAACACCACCCGCCTTCCTGAGACGCAGCCCGTCCCCGCCACCCCGGGCACTATTCCATGCGTTCCCCGCCACCACCACGGTGCCATCACCATCATCCCCGTCGCCAGCCACCTGTCTGTCACGCGACGATGCCGGTCGAGGAAGAGGGTGGCCACGGACCCACAAGCGGCTGTAGCAGATGAGGGTGAAAACCACCACGGGCGTGCCGTACAGGAAGAGGCCGAGCAGCACAGACTGCTGGAACACAGCCTGCAAGCATCAGCAGCACGCAGTTAAGTCATGCTGGTACGCAAGACAAATGATACAAATATTTAATTGTACTTAACAGGCGACGTATGTTATCTACACACCTGCTGCCATAATTTCTGATGAACAAATCGTGCAGAATGTGCCCGATGTCATCAGATTTTTGAAGCTAAGCAGGGTTGGGCGAGCACCATGCAACATGTTATTGGTTGTTGCGGGAGTGTGTTGTGGGCAGTGGAGCGCCGTGCAATAAAATCCAGTTGTACTAAACTGTGTACTTTACTCCATATCAATGTTTCCCACCTTCAACCCACACTGACCAATGGCGTAGAGAGGCCTTCACCCAGCAATGGATTGAAAAAAGGATCTCTGTGTACGTTAACATAATTGTCCTTTTATCATTGTGTGAGACAGCATTTTGAGACGCAGTTTCATTTAGATGCTTTGTATTTCATTGCATATTTTTAGTATAAATTACTGTAATAAATCAAGGTTACTTTTAAAAGTGCGATAGAATATGCATGATTAATTTCTATTCTTAACCACATGGGGTGTGAGATGGATGTCAAACCCCTCATCTTGGACTATTTTTTTTGCAGGCAGTAACAATGTATATGATTGTTCCGCTGGCTTATTAAGCACAATTCTGAATTATTTTTGACGAAGTCTATTGACATACTTTAAATTGAGTATTTTACACAAAGGTAAATACGCTCCTGTGAGGTTGCATCAACAGTACTCACAACGATGTATCAAATGAATGACTTCCCTTCTTTTGCAAGAACGTAAGACCATTTGACTGCAGCATCAAATGATAACTTGTGAATTTAGAAACATCTTTACAACAATTGGTCACGTACAAATAAAGCAGTGCTTTGTAATAAGCACACAGCATGTTTTTTGACCGGCATGCTTATCGCCTTGCAGTTGTGTTGTTTGAAAACCCCAGAAAAAGACTACTTGAAAGACAAGATAAGCATGTTTTAAATTACATCGCCATGATCGCGGAACTGAGGGTCGCACGGGTTAATACCAACTTCAACGGAGTTCAGTTAAAAAGGTGCTCAGGATTAAGCAGAATGAACAGCCTAGATGTAACGGAACTCCACGGTTTCCAGTTGCCGCGAGCGTCAATCTCTCACCGATATCACCGTGGAAGCGTCGTAGAGCAGCCTCTTGATTCGGAAGTAGGGACTGTTCCCTCCGTGAGCCTACGGAAGAGTTGGACGTAAGAACACATGAACCTTATGGTGGGACCCCGGGTCCCATAAGCCCCTGGCTCTCGCATAAACATTATATTATAATGTAAACAAAAACTTTGCTCTTTTTCACCAATGGGTTTGAAGGATGGTGGCAAGTGTTGTCTTGTTAAACTATGCCTTTAAAACTGAAAACTACTTACCCGCAGTACCTCTATTTAAATACACTATCAAAAAAATTCTTTACATCCCCCTGTCAATCATCGTGTTTCTCAGTGTGGATTTGTGAACACACTTTGTAAACAGTACATAAAATAGAATGCTTTTTCAATGCGCTGTTCATATTGTAACAAGCGTTTATACCAATGTTACTCTACAGAGTAGTGAGTCGCCGCTCCCCTTATCCGCATTCATACGAGCGGTATGTGGGGACTATGGCTTAACCGCAAAAAAAAACCTATCTGCACAGAGGCATACGGACAAGAGAAGTATTATCAAACAGGAGGAATTAACGGTGCAACGCATCTCATCTGTTAAATATCTGCAGGTAATAGGATTGTCATCGATTTATCCTGCCTGCAGACATTGGTAGGTCACAAATAATAATAATGAAGATATAGAAAGCCGTTTCACTGTTTTACGCATACCGTTATGAAAAATAAAGGACTTAAGTCGTCGTGTAGGCAGTTTGAGCAGCTTTGGATAAGACTTATGATCCTGCCCATGCCCGAGCATGGCGTGCATTCGCTTGTTCAGCTCTTCTGCGTTGCGCTTGGACGACACGACAACAGAATGATCCGCGCCAGGTGGGTCGCGGCCAAAAATAAATGTATTAATTACGATTTTTACTTCCATTTATTCGGGACCCCGGGGTCCCGCCATAAGGTTCATATGTCCATGTGCTTCCAAGCGTTACAAGTGTAAGGATAATTAGAAGGCACATGTGTATGTTTTACATACACATTGCTGTATGTACATCTACATTTCAACGATGAAGAAAATTAACTGGCTATGAAAACCAAAATAGTAATGAACCATTTTCATTCCTCTAACACATGTGCATATACTATGCACAAGTCTTAACAAAACAATATTTTCCCTTTCGCCTGGAATAAACAGTTGACGCAAGTGCTGTAAGCAAGCGCTTTATATATATATCCTTCTACATATTGGAATGTAACAAAGAGAAGAGGGGTCACCAGACTGCTGCTGAGGTTTATCAATTCAAGAGTCAAGGGTTTTTACATACGCTTACACATGTACACAGCATAATCAAATTCACACGAAATATACATTTCAAATGATGCTGGACAGGGCAAATTAACTCGCTGTGAAAACAAAAATGAATACAAGTTGTTTTCCTTCCCCTAGCACTTCACTCCTACAAAACACGCAGAGCTGTCAACAGCTAAGCGGCGTAGGGGAGGGCAGCCGCACTGATCGATGTCACATTGTTAGGGCCGCGCGTGAAAGAGGCGTGCCTTTCCTGTGTTTTTTATAGTGTTCCGAGCCACTCGCTCATGTTTTGCCCAAATACTCTCACCCCGAGCAGCATGAGGAACATCTGATGGGGGGAGAAGAGGTGGTAGAGGTGGGGGGGGCTACTTATAGAGATGTGGAAGCAAAGGTTTTTTTAAAGTCAGGTTGAAAGGTGAATGTGGGGTAAAAAGTTGATGCCCAGGGTGAGAGAGAACACCACAGGTGCAGCACTGTCTAACAACGCCATGTTAACTCCACATTCTACTAGATGCTATAAATACGACGAAAACAGTAATTGTCACCATAATCATCCTTATCTCAAGTTCTGCCTTTGGCAGTTTTTGTCCCCACACCAACCAGTCCCCCAGAGCGCTCACTGCAGTGGAGTTTAGCCATGCCAAGTGCTTATTGAAGGACAAAGCGGTCGTTTATTGATTGGAAGTAATTACCCAAGCCTGTCCCCCAGCACCCAATGACCTACTTTATCTTGGTTTAGTGCTAGGAGAGACGCTTCCCCCAGAGGTCTGACCTCCAGTTTCCCAGCCAGGTTGCTCGTGATGAAGGTGAAGAGGTCCTTGGCGGAGCGGAGGTCACCCTCGGGCAAAAAGAACTGCTGGGATGAGGTGTTGACAAGAATCACGCTTGGGACGTCCACCACGCTTGCGACCACATGGGAAGAGGAGAGGAGGGGACAGAGGTACAATTTTTTTGTGTTTTCCGTCAAGCATCATCTACAAAACATGTGTTTTGTGTTTTTTTTATCACAATCACATTTTTGTCATAAACATTTCAACCATGCGATTGGGCCTGGATGGAATTAGGACTCTGGTTTACATTTACTTTGTGAGCTTACTGTTACATCGTATGATGTGGTTGGCCTTACCTCATGATCAGGTCATTGATGTGAATGTTGCCATCTGTGTATCCGAACTGAAATTGCCTGCAGTGGCATATGGGGTGGGGGGGGGGAGGTGGTGGAGAGTCAGGATTCGAAGATGTTCAACAGGGAGTGTGCGGACAAGATAACAATGCATGAGAGAGCCAGTCAACAGACGAGACCGTGTGTCAAGTGCCCCACCCCTGTATATTGAGACCCAGCGGAGCAGGGTATAAAGCGGTCGAGGTAAGTGTGAATCTTCTTCTTGGTTCTCTCGGTAAAGTCACGTAGAATGGAAATAATAAAATAGCAAAAATAAAACATAATAAAATAATTCTCACGACGTTTCGGCCACAACACAAGCAGCTGTCCTCAGGTGAAGAACAGGTCTGTCAGAAAGACAGACCTGTTCTTCAGAAAGACAGACCTGTTCTTCACCTGAGGACGGCTGCTTGCGTTGTGGCCGAAACGTCGTGAGAATTATTTTATTGTTTTATTTTTTATTATTTTATTATTTCCATTCTACGTGACTTTACCGAAAGAACCAAGAATCTGTTCATTGTGAAGGTGCATGTTGAGCGCAGTGTGTCTATGACTCACTTGTGAAAGTTCCTTCTGTAATTTTTTGACACTTCTTCCACCATATATTTGAGCCTGTTTCAAACAACATTAAGGCATCAATTCATCAGCCTGAGGCCAATAGTTGCTTGTCGGTAGCGCGTCTACTCAAAAAGAGACCATGAAGCAATTATCACCCTGCACAACTTAACACCACCGTTTCTGGTAATTACTGTAGAGTATATTGTTTTTATATAGCGACTTATTTTGATAATTATTAGTAGTAACATTTCACTTTTTCATTATCGATTTTCCATTCAATGTGCTCTCAAAAGGCTTGCTCATTCTTAAGAGCGATTTTATTTGATCTTGTGGCCGACGCTTTATCCGTAGGAACGCATCTCCAATGTTATAATGGAAGTCAATGGGAAAATAGGGTTTAGAGACAGAATTTCACTTTACAGACAACTTTTCAGGAACGTAACTGTTCTGTATATTGAGGGATGCCCGTATTTACGTCTCTATTGTGAAAATGTGCATGCACCGTGAGCTTAAGAATCACTTTTAATCAATGAATCGATCCATCCTTACACTGCTGCTCAACATTAAGTGGTAAAATTGTACCTGTTGTCATGTTTAATGTTAGTTCCACTCAAGACTGCAAGGACCAATGATTTTCCTGCAAGAAATAAAAATGATCATTCACATCACTCGGTTAAAATCGTAAGGTGAATCATAGCATACATGCAAACCAAGCTCCATTTACTGTAATTTTGTGGTGAATTGTTGAATAAAATAAATACTTTGAAATGCATTTATTATTTGTTTATTAGTCAACCCCATCAGACGATCAGTGTGTGCATTGTTAAATGCAATGAGACTGAACAAACCAGATCTTAAGTTTACACTTGCAATGTTACAGGAAATACACAGTCACAATGCGTTGGGTTAGGGCATGACTGCATCGACCAATCCTAAGACTCATTCCTCCCATGGCCTCTCTGCTCACCTAGACTGTAGCAGCTGCAAATACACAAGCCCCCTTGTCAGTGGATCTATCCCCCTGGGCTCGATGCCAAAAAATGCACCCGTGTACCTGTGTCAGCCAGGTCATGCAGAGTGATACTGTCGATGAACAGGAATTCTGGGAACCTCTCCCTGTTCACCCACTCCTCCAAGCTTCCGTCTTCAAACTCTGTAGTGGTAACAAAAGTATATTTCTTCTATTTTTTTTCAAGCAATTACAATTGTGTTGTTTATCTCATTTATAAGATGAAGAATCCATTAAAATGCATGGAGAAATAATTCCTTTTGTATCAGAGAATGCAAGAGATTTTTTTCACAGAAATTCAGAAAAATCCTTCCAATGGCTTTTATATATATCAAAATTACACAGTAGGGGGTGTACTTCCCTACAAGCTCTGCTAAATTGTCACATGAAAGTTAATCCCAAAAGTATTTATATTCACTCCGAGTTGAAATTTTGCCAAATCAAGTTGAAAATCAAATTTCACGTGATATAGTTACCAGTGACCATCAAATGGCACAACGCTTGTTGCTGCCTGGTTTCCAACCCAGGAACTGGTGCTGACTCAGTCCGCTGACCTTAGGCCAGCTGGTCACTTGCAGCTAAAGTATGTTATACTTGCTCCCAAATTTTTTGAAATGTCACCATGTGATCACCAACAAATGTGAATATAAAAACATTAAAGTACCAAGAAACTAAGGAGAAAGCAATGGGGATGTTTATGCAGTTAAGTTGGTTCAGCAAAGTTTTGGAAGGCCATTAACTTTGATGCAATTTTGTTCAAAGTAACACATTCCAGAGTGGTATTTCAGTAATCCTGAGAAGGCTGCAATTTCTTTCGGGATTTCTCAATCTTATATATTTTCTGCAAGAATTTCCTACAATTTTTATGATTGAAGAGGCTTTTCATTTTTCCAGGAGAGATTTTTTGTATTCAAGAAAGTACATGCTGTTAATTAGGGGTTACGTCTGCATGAAACATGCACAAGAGTTGTATCAAGGTAATGGTTGAAATTTACTGAACCAAACTTCTATAACATGTATTGCTTGAAAAACACTTGGTAATGACTACCATTTCAGCAACTAAAAACTACGCGCTGTGTTATAACGTATACAGATTTGAGACCACCTTAAAAAAAACTTCCAACTTGACTGCTAAATCTGAAAAACATTTCAAAACCACAACAAAACAATTGAAAACATGACCTAAAAGCAAAAATGTTTAAGCCATATGCATCATATTTGGCCTTTTAGGAGTACATACAATGACACGTTTTCAAGAATTCATTCTATTGAATACCAATGAAAATAAATCATCGGTATTTTTGGTTCCATGCAAAAACACTTTCAATTACTTCAAAATAAGAGTCTTAAGATATTGTTTCATGACAAAGACAACAGTTAAACCTCGGTTTCTTATATAATTTTAATGCTTTGCAATTAAATGTCTATGGGACCTCAGTGGACAATATGACCTCTCAATAACCCTCACGTCCCTCTGCTTCAAGACCTCTCCAGCTTCTTAACCCGAACAGGTGTCAGAGTCCATAATTAACTTAAGGCTCCATAATTATCTTAGCCACATCTGCTGGCGCTTCGGTTTGTGTTGAGATATGCCATTTAAAAAGGGAGCTCTGCATGCCATAGGTTAGGTGGGGTCCAAAAGATGATGTCTATTCTAACGTTTAAACGTGAAGGTTTTTTTCAAAGGGATGTAATGTCTGAAACCGTGTTGTTGATGCAAAAAAGTGTTCGTGAAATAGTGGGTTTTTAAATGCATATTTCTCAGAAACAGGAAAAGTTCCAATTCAGCCCAGAAATGTACCATATAAAACATTTGGTCTTTGAGTAATTGGTTCTCTTCCAATTGGATTGAACAAAGTAAAAAAAGAAGTAAACTGTCAAAAAGACTAGAATGTCTACTCTCAGTACAGTATAAGTAAAATGCAACTTTGCGGATCATGCAGTTTCAATGTGTTTTTTGCTAAAAATGGAAAAGCGAATGAATGTCTAATTACTGTATCTAACACAAGTGCACTTGGCTGTAGACAAAGATACTTGCCTGTTCTCAATAAGTTTGAACAAACAGCGCCTCCCAGTGTCAGACTGCGGCCATCTCAGCGATTCAAATTCGATCTCATTTAAAGTGAAAATAAGAGCTCTCTGTGCAATGTCATACTCGTTTAAACCTAATTTTAGTCTTACGACGACACATTTCATTTTTAGATGCAATTGAGGTAAGTACAATAAACTCGAATTTTTACTCTAAAATTCACTCCGATTAATTATATTCTATTCTCCCATCTTCCAGAGCTAACCAATCATGTCATCCATCCGACGCCGAGTTCCAGTAGCTGTGATTTAGATGGCGATTGGCCATGTGGTTCCTGGAAAGCTATACGGTCAAGGGTTAATTACTGTTGGGAATTAAGTGGCAACAGGAGTGTAGGTCTGTTCATACAAATGAGTGATCTACTCTTGGCGTTTGCAAAAGTCACACAACAGCTGTGGCTGGGTAATTGATGAGGATCCACTTGTTAAAGCAGTAACACAATATGTCCCTCAACACAGGGCCTCTGTTTTTACCTTGAATTATAGGGACAAAGCAAGTTTAAGTTGAGCATAATGTATTTAGATTACTACTTAATTATCTTTGGTTATAGTTTGTTATTCTTGAGTATTAAAACACGGGCTATCAAACTTTTATTGGCAGACGATGTGCACAAACAGGCGGCTAGACTCTACAGAACGGTTAAGCAGAGCCTTTCATGATGGCCAATCCGGGAAGCCTCTTGGGCATTCTGGGAGCCTAGAGAGGGGCTGCATGCCACATGTGGGGAACCCCTGAGATACAGCACAAACAACCATTATGTTGGCTACATGACCTGGCACATCCGCAGTGCCACTGACCCCATTCTTAAAACACAAGGCTGTGGACTGCATTTTAAAAGGCATGGGGCTTCAAAGGGATGGGAAATAATGTAATGGGATGGGGTGGGATAAAACGGGACATCATGGGATGACTGCGGATACACCAGAATGAAATTGTACAAGAGTGGAATGTGATTGGAGATATAGTGTGATGGGAAACAACATCATGGTATAGAAATGCAGGGATGTTGAATAAATAAAATCAATTAAGAGGTGCAATGACTCTTGTGCTCTTGCACGAGCTGTAAATGTACCATCGAAGACGTAAAATGTTTCATCCTTGAATACCAGAACAGCCGGCAGCTCGTACAGAACTACGTCCTATTGAAACAGAGACACGCCATACTGGTACTGTCATTTGCACCCTATTAGCCTCGACTTATCTGTACATGTAAAACTACTTGTTATAATGCACAACCATATTTAGCAACACATTTGAAATGAAATCATTCAAGACATCACAAACTTAAATGTGGTACAATTCTATTGTTCATGTTGTAGTTATCAAGCAGTACATGTGTGTAAACTATAAATACGGTAGAAATTAACTAATTAACTCTCACATCTATATAAGGCTGTTTTTTTTAAAAGAGAAAGCTATAGTTTGTTGAATATTATTTCTAGGTTTGTACGAAGTTCGACTGAGTCAATTTTAGCGTGCAGTTTATACACAACACTAATGTGCTCTAACCTCAGGAAGTGCTTCCTTGGTTGCAGAATAGAAGTATGTGTAGACGATCAATTCGGTGGCAACTTCAAGGTATTTCTCCTGAACGGCAGAATGGAGCAATAAACAAATTGGGTCAAAGGCACCATGACCTTACCTCTCCAATTCCAAAATATACCTTAATAGCTCTACCACGTTCATTGTTGGTACATTTCCGTATATATATTTAAGCATAGACAAAGACAAAAATCTCATGTATAGCCTTAGCAGACTTTTGGGACAAGTGTTATTATTAAGTAGCACCTATGATAGGGGTGAGTGGGTGGCCAACACCATGCCTGGACGCTTTTGTCTCCCCAGTGGTGATGGTTACACACAGCACCAGGTACTAATTTTAGGCTGAGTCAACCTAGGGGAGGCCCAGAACCGGTTCAGATAATCGTCACTGGTGATGGCCATGAGCGGGAATTGAACTCTGGTCGCCAGGCTTGTAGCGCAGCACGCTAACCATTGCACTAACGCTCCCCAAAAGACAAAGACACACTCACAAGCATACACAGCGATGCCAACTCCCCCCAAGTATTGTTTTATTTTAATATTCTCATTTGGAGAGTGGTTTACCTTCAATGGAGACTCTCCACCCACATATACAAAACACGTGTCGTGGGCCTTCTGTGCTTTCTCAAATGCTTCAGGGCTGGACAGGGAAAGCACAGTTGGCCTGAAGAAACAAAACAAATTGTTCTTACATGGGAGAACATATTTTAGACAACAAAACACACGCAACAATTTCGGATATTCTCCCACATGGTGCATATCTATTGCATTGTGTAGATCACATGTGTAGAGTAATAGCGCTGGCTGCTGACGGAAAGTGGTACCTGCAGTGTATGGCAGTACACACGTCAGCAGGCGACAGTAATATACGGGAAAAAAGAGAACTCAGGGGAAGTTCATTAAGGGGTCCATCTAGAAGCCCTGGGAACCTGCTAGTAGGTTTCAGAAGAGAGGCGTAGGCCAGGGCGGAGCAAGGCCACGCCGGCAGCATACGAGGGAGCTCTGAGCGAGAGCTCGGGGTTGTTACTGGAAGTGGATCTCCTCGCCGTGCTGCTGTTCGCCACCATCGTTGCCGCCGTCTTCACCATCACGGGGCGCCGCTAGTTAGACAGCCTGCCAACAGTTCCGGCTAGATATTGCCGCCGACAATAGACGGTTGTGTATATAGTATCTGTAAAATAGTGTGCACCCACGTAGGATGTGTAGAGTCCCGATTGTGTGCGAGAATAAAGGAAGGTGCCTCCAAGTATTTCTGTCTTCGAACTGCGTCACTACACATGCTTGACAAATCTTGATTAAGAGCATCAGCATCATGAGAATCAATGCATTGCCGCGATATAAAACCGAAATAGAATAGACTTTTTTAAGACTGTAAACAAGGGAAATAAACAATCCTTTGGATTAGAACCCAGTTTGTCAAACATAATGGCTCAGTGCTCTGGCATTGTCTTTAGCTGTGTCAAACCCTCAGCAATCAGGAATGCTAGCTAGACAATTTCAGTGAGCTTAATGGTTAAAGTTGTTTTTTATTGTTTGGCCTTTTATTTACACAGACCATGGATCAAACACCAAAAAGTGTACAAAAATTATCAGGACGTGCACATTTGGAATTACATCGAGACAGAAAGAGGAACATGTGGATCAGAGAACACAAAGTGAAGACATATCGACTGTTAAGAAAAGTAAGTGGGCTTTGGTAAGACATATCGTTTGAAGGGATTAGGGCCGATGGATCAGATTGGGGATGGAATGATATCAAAAGGAGGCAACACACACCCAGGAATGTATCAACCACAAAGATGGAGCAATGAGAGTTACTAATTATTATTACTAATGTGCATAAGCAATCCATTACGGTGATGTGCAGAGGTCTTCATCCAGCAGTGGATATATCATGACCGATTATGATGAGCAGCAATTCAAATAAAATGTAAAACGCTTGGCTTTTTTGGGCATAACTTACCCAGACACTCTGTTGGCAAATTCTATAATCTTCTCTTTGCTGTGTGGCCCTCTGTAGTTATAAGCCAAGTCGCCCTTTATCCTGGCAAAGGAAACAAACAATTAACTACTTTACAATTATGTATTTGTGTAATGATTTATATTGGTGCCGAAACATTTTTAATAATAGGTGTGCATCGATTAATATAAACTCCTAAGCACACAACATCCTTAAAACTGCTGAAGTATTGTTTATTAAGTCGTATAAGGTGTATGTAATGGGTGCATGTGATCCCTTTAGGTACTAAAGCTGGTACATTTACCACAAGTTAAAAATAATCGAGTCATATCAAATGATAATACTCTGAAGTGTAAAATGGTCAAATCCTCACACTCTTACTTTGAATTAACATTAGATAGATAGATAGATCGTTTATTGTCATTGTCACCAGTACAACGAAATTTAAAATGCTCACCAGTCAGGGCCTCATTCATAAATTTAAATTAAATAAAACAAGAAAATAAAAATAAAATTAGACATATGAGTCGTGAAGATGCTTAATCTTTAAGCCCAAATATGTAACATCAATTTTTTCCAATTTGTATATGAATAGGCCAATAGGTTGCTAATCCAAAATACTGTACCCAACGTTGCAAGGAAATTGGACCATGACCCCCAATGGAATGGGCACAAGGACAGTTTTATCTGTCTAGGAGCGGTGGAAAAATAAATAACAGAAAGGCATTCAAGCACTGACGCCAAGAAGCCCTGCTGCCCTTAAGATGCGGTCATCTTTCCCTAAGTGACGTTATTCGTGGCATCGTATTCTGGAGGGCTGGTGCACTTGAGTGGGTTTAAGCTATGTAAACCCATCTGGGAATGTACTCTGTCAGCCGTCTAAAAGTCCCCTTGATAATATATCAGAAGCATCACCTTACAATTTGTTTTACAGATCTGAAAGATTCTCTAACGGCTGTGGAAAAAATATACCTTTGTGTGTCAGTATTTGTTCATGGTAACATTCCTCAATAATTTTCATTTATGAGCAGGATATGAGTCTATAGAGACAAAATTCTGTCTTTTTGAAAGGAGACATGATGTCTATCAATTGTACAATATAAATTGTACAATACGAGTATGTAAAATAAGCAGGTGATAAGCAAAATAAATGAGACCTTCATACCTCCAGCCTAGATGCAGCAGTTAAATGCTACCATTTTATGTGGCGTATTCAGTTTAACTAGCCTATAACCGCATCACCAGATCTCAGAAGCCAAGCAGGATCCTGCTCGTATACAACTTGGATGGGTGACCACTATGCACACCTGGTTATATAGGCCACTACGGGGCTATGTAATGGGTAACAGAAGGAATTACAGAAAAATACATTGTTGTATTGTACTTTCTATGCCCCACATATGTGCTTGTCACCTTCACTAATCGGCACTTGACCAGCATAGTGAAACCATCACCCAGCAGTGGTTTAAAAAAGGTTTGTCCATTCACATGCAGTATGTTATTTAACGTTAGTATTGGCAAATACATTTAACAAACCAGGAGTTCAAGCTGTCATTCCACAATAACATAAGTAAAATATATTGAACCTTCTAAAGTAGTTATGGTTTGTGCACTGTAAATCATAAATAATGTCAAGTTTTCAGGTATTATGAAACATGACATGAAAATTCTTTATCTGAGCACTGCTGGAATAAAGTGTAGCTTAAACTTTACGTTTGTATTATATCCTAAGAGTATTATATCCTTTTCACAGGTGTTTACGGTACTCAGTGATGATTTCATCTTAAATGGCAACAGCTGTTGAGATCACATAGGGATTCACAGGTTGTTTAACGGATGTCTACATTATTTAAAACTTCCACTCACAAATCCCACTGCATTACCACTTCGAGTCGCTTGTTAATCTCTCCGAGTGCCCGGACCGCCATCCACATGGTCAGCGTGTAATCACTGGATTCCTTCATCGCTTAGTGACGGCTCATTTTCCAGAAAGGACCTCAGGCAAATGTGTCAAACACATTATGATGTGGATGCTATACATATAACCGTTTGGTATATTTTCTGAGATATTTCCTGTTTAAGTAATTAATTGAGAATACACGAATTGCAGGATATTTACAGATTATATGTATGCACATGTGTTTGTTTAAATATAGTTATATATGACTAATTATAAGCAATTGTGGCAAACTTGTAATTAAAATGATCCAAAGTGCCATCTTTCCATGACAATATCATATAGGTGAATGGAGAAGGCTGACTGATGTGGAATTACACTGTAAGTTGTCCATCTCTGATAAACCAAGAACAGTCCCTTTAAGTTTGAGACAGCTTACTGGCTCAATAGGAATCCACCCCCCTCTTGAGCTTACTAACAGAGTGGGTCCAATGTTAAATACCGCAAGGTTTTGTGGTTTACCACTGTCTAAGAGTACACAGAGTGGCGTGACTAATGCAGAGCTTTAAAGGACCAAGGGGAAATCCCATGCGGAGCGCGTTCATGACCAAGTGGGAAGCACACACTCACAGTTTGATGCTTGGGAATCCTCTTGCCCCAAACTCTGAAGCCAAGGCTTCAGAATGCAACACAACAGCAACATTATTTTAGTGTCACGATCGAAAACAAGTGTACCATTACCACCACTATTATTAAAAGTCACTTATTTAGATCTCACTGAGTCTCAAGACTTTATCAGGAGGGTCCTGCTTGCATTGGGCTGTTTGGCCAATTTCACATACAGTAAAACCTCGGATTGCGAGTAACTTGGTCTGCCAGTGTTTTGCAAGAGGAGCAAATTTTTTAAATAAATATTAATTTTATAAACAAGCGAGGTCTTGCAATACGAATAGGACGATTTCGCTTTGTCTGCCGAGCGTCACGTGATCACAACTGATATACGAGTGCTTTGGATTACAAACACGTTTCCGGAACGAATTATGCTCGCAATCCAAGGTTTTACTGTAAATGTTTTTTTATATTGATGGAGGATTCGGAGTTCATGGAGAAAACCCTTGCATATGAAGGGCACACACTCAAAAGTTCCACACCGATGGGTTCACGACCCATTTGGTGTGCAGCCATCTTCTGGCCACCTCATAGTCGAGTAGGTTTGGAGCTTCACAAATCTATGTGATTTACCAACTCTTGCCATCAAAGTGCTGAATTTCAGGTATGTGCAACCCTACTCTGATTCATAGTTTCTGGAAAGGGAGACATTTAGCCACACCAACAGTTCTTTAGATCAACACGGGTGACACAGAGGTCAGTGCACAACCGACAATCAGAAGGTTGCAAGTTAAAATTATGGTCGGAGGTTGATACAGCCCCCAAAAGTTAAATTCCCTTGGTGGGCCACCACAAGGCAAGGAACATCCGAGTTAATCTGAGCCCTGTTGGCACATCACATATTTAGCCGATGTGGATAATGGATAAACACTCAACCCATGGACCCTTGGGGTTAGATGTAACCAGCAGCTCTGAAAGCTCAGGTTAAAGCTTTACAATGACCGCTCACATGAATGCTTGATGGCGTCCATCTTCCCGACTCGCACAGGCGAGCCTGCCTCGTGTAAGCCCAATGCTACCTCCCTCCAAACAGGGTCCAGCTTTTTGCAATGGCTGCACCATGGTGCGTAAAACTGCAAAGAGAAAAAAACCCATGTCAGAATACACCGTCCTCGAAATAAAAACACCTGCAGAGTGCAAACACGGATCCATTGCTGGCCTCAATGTTTAGACCAGGGATAACTGTTATTATTCCATCTCTATGTTTCATTATATACGTTGATTAATATATAATGGAAATCGTGAATGCAGATTTTTTTTTACCATTTTAAAATGCAGGTAACTAAAGAAACTGCTTCCAAATGTAATAGCCGTTGAACTGTTATCCTTAGCCAATTGGCTGGCTTCATATTCAAGCATTGAAACGTTAAAATGTATGTAACACCCATGGATGAAGAATAATAACAATGTCTTACTATTTTGGTTTTCTAAGTATATTTTTTGTTAGTCATTAAACTTCTTTTGAATTGTTGTTCTTCTGCACGAACATTTTGTACCATAATATTATTTGCATGGATCTTCCTTGCAAAACGAACTTGACTCGCTCGGCTCTCATCTAGTTATAAGCTTATCATCAGTAGTAGTATGTTCTATTCATCACCATATTAAGGCATCCCCACCGCCATCCTTCATGGACCTGCATGCCACAATCTATCTCTTGTCCACACATGAGATAATATCATATCCAAGGAGGTTGCCCTCTCAAATGTGTTATTTCCCTTTGGCTGTTATCCATTCACCAGCCTCAGTCACTGGCCATCATCCCTCTTATCAATGTGTTTGGCTGAGGCTCATTTTGAACAGTACTAAGAGTCTACACTCGTCTCTTAAAGAAAGTGTTAAATTAAAGAATACAACGAAATCAAATTAAGATAACAAATGCGGAGAGGTAGCACAATGTCTAACACACTACGCGATGAACCAGCGACCGCAAGTCTGATTCTTGGTCATGGTGAACATCATTGATAAGTAGTATGACCTTTAACCAACCACACCAACCTGGTTGGGTTAAGTATGGTTAAACAATGATAATTGCTTTTTACCCTTTTATCTGGCAACAAAACTGACACCTTTTTGTTACAAGGAGTCATGTTTGCATTGACCACAATATCTGCGGTCGGAATGCAAACAAAAAACACAACAAAAAGGTGTCAGTTTTTTGCCAGATAAAAGGGTAAAAAGCAATTATCATATTTTGCTACTGGCAAAGGAGGTTCCAATTGTGTATGGTTAAACAACCCTCGTAATCTACTTTTATCTAAGAGTGCCTTTAGGGGCTGTACATTATGGCTCCTTCGATATCCTGAAACTCACATTCACAAGCCAGGGTTCTTGTTGTCTCAGATCATGTAACCTGCAATGAAAGGGAGACAGTTAAAACACTTGAATATTAATACACTTTGTAACCACAGGGTCCAGCATTAAACAATCTGTCCCAACGTTAAGTATTTTGTTTTATTAATAATGGAATGCTACAATTTAACTTGTGAGCAGCAGAGGGCGGTGTACGACACGACACAGTATTTGTTACTGTATGTCAAATGTAGGTTTTAAATCTGCTTGGTTTTCGAATACACTAAACCAGTTAATGTTGCCGATAATTGAGAATACAAGTGCCAAGAATTAAACATTTTTAAAAACAAATCAAACGTAGCCACAAATACGCCAATCGCAGTGCAACGAAATCCATTGTTTTGTTGTTTACCACATTACACATCCCTCTTTCATGACCACTTCCACAAAGGTCCATCCAGCAGTGGATTGACGCAAAGATCTTGTGCGTGAGCCCCGTGTAGGAGGTAAAACAATGTTTATTGAATTACAACATTTAAACCCCCCCCACCCCACATCAACTCACGTTGACGTCAATTCGACAATTTCGCCTCCCGCATTCGCCAGCACTGAGGGGGGAGATAACAAAACAACCACCGTCACACAAACACACACAGCTCACGATAACCTCTTGTGAAATGTATAAGCAGCGAGTTAGCGAGTGAAATGTCGTGGTGGTCGTGACTTGCCGAGGAGACACGCGATCGCCACCGCAGCAGCTGCCGCAGCAGCAGCGGCAGACATCGCCTCGTGTCAATCACGCGCCGGGGGGCGGAGGGGAGGGGCCTCGGGCACGGGCACGTGACACGGGCTGAAGACGGTCGGGGTCGCCATGTTGGGTAAGGGGTTTGGGTGGGCGGTTGGCGGTTGGGTGGGGGTTTGGGTGGGGGTGGGCGGTTGGGTGGGCAGTTGGGTGGGCGGTTGGGTGGGCAGTTGGGTGGGGGTTTGGGTGGGGGTGGGCGGTTGGGTGGGCAGTTGGGTGGGCGGTTGGGTGGGCAGTTGGGTGGGGGTTTGGGTGGGGGTGGGCGGTTGGGTGGGCAGTTGGGTGGGGGGGTTGGGTGGCAGTGGGCGGTTGGGGGGGTTTGGGTGGGGGTGGGCAGTTCGGTGGGGGTTTGGGGGGTGGGCGGTTGGGTGGGGGTTGGGTGGGGTGGGCAGTTGGGTGGGGGGGTTGGTGGCGTGGGCGTTGGGTGGGGGTTTGGGTGGGGGTGGGCGGTTGGGTGGGCAGTTGGGTGGGGGGGTTGGGTGGCAGTGGGCGGTTGGGTGGGGGTTTGGGTGGGGGTGGGCAGTTCGGTGGGGGGTTTGGGTGGGGGTGGGCGGTTGGGTGGGGGTTTGGGTGGGGGTGGGCAGTTGGGTGGGGGGGTTGGGTGGCAGTGGGCGGTTGGGTGGGGGTTTGGGTGGGGGTGGGCGGTTGGGTGGGCAGTTGGGTGGGGGGGTTGGGTGGCAGTGGGCGGTTGGGTGGGGGTTTGGGTGGGGGTGGGCAGTTCGGTGGGGGTTTGGGTGGGGGTGGGCGGTTGGGTGGGGGTTTGGGTGGGGGTGGGCAGTTGGGTGGGGGGGTTGGGTGGCAGTGGGCGGTTGGGTGGGGGGTTTGGTGGGCAGTTGGGTGGGGGGGTGGGCGGTTGGGAGGTTGGGTGGGGGCGGTTATTGGGGAGGGGTGCGGCATGTGGAGTGCGCGACCTTGTACTTTCGTGCAAATTTCCACGCGGGCATGAATATTAATGAAGAGGGGGGGGGGGGGCTCTTTTGCAGTGACGTCACACACGGATGTAGCACTGTGCTGCGTATATTTATTTTTTACCGTCACTTTCTGTAACTAAACGTCATATTTGAAGCGACTTTGCGTAATATATTTTTTAAATTTAGCTCGACCTTCCTCTGCGTTACTGTAAAAATCCACCCACTCATGAATATTAATGAGGGGGGGGTGAGCCTCATGGGGAGTGACGTCACGCGGGGGGGGGCTCATGTGGAGTGACGTCACGCGGGGGGCCTCATGTGGAGTGACGTCACGCGGGGGGGTGAACCTCATGTGGAGTGACGTCACGCGCGGGACGGACATACATTTCTGGGTGATTATAGGATTCTATATTGATTATAGGAGGTAATATTTCCTTTAAATGCATTGGTGTTATCGAGTTTGTTTTGAGTTGGGGCCCTGGACATCTGCGAGAGAGAAAAGAGCTTTACAGCTAGTCGGATTCCATCCGCATGGAGACTGTGATGACGTCACGGCGGATGACGTCACGGCGGATGACGTCACGGCATCTCCCCCACCCAACATGGCGATTGCAACACGCGCACACTCACCCACACAACGGGCAGGGGGTTCATATCGGAAGACGCCGATTCGTCTAACACCACACACATACACGCAAATATTAAACTTGAGACCAAACATTTAAAACCACTAGCGCGTTGCGAATTAATACTTTTATAATTTTGTCTTGACTGACGTTAACAGGTTCATTTGTTTTATTTTTTGACCACGTTTCATTTCTTTTCTTTTCTTCTTTCTCCTGTCAGGTAATGCGCGCGCGTGTGCCGATTCGTCGTTCGTTCGCCTCGCGAATCGCCAGTTGAGTTTTACCGCGGCGAGCACGTGGGGCGTGGTGGTGTCGAGGGGACATGGCGGCCACTGTTACCAAGGGGGTGAGTTGTGGGGATCGCGAATTGCTGACACCCGTGGCTCTCTGTGTGTCAAACACTCGCGCCGGTCTACACCCCGTCGTCTTGTTTATTGCAACAGGGACATCGAGTTGTCGGGGCCATGCGGCGTACGGTCGTTTAAATACGGGCAAAACATCCCATGTTTTGTCTATGTGTTTGTGTTTCTCCTTGTGATGGGACTTTGTCGGATGAACGTTGATAGTTATATGGGGCACGGGGTGACTAATAAGGTCTGAATCGGCCGTGATAAGGTGGGGCACTGATGATGGGTTGACGGATATGGTAACGAGACAGAGCTGCTGCTGCTGCTACTACTAATGTAGGTGTTTTGGGGTGGGTTAGATCAAGTAAATATAAATGTGTCGTTAAACCCGCCACCACCCGACACAGCCAGTTGGTAAGATGTCACGTAGACATGGCAATTCGTTACCACACCATGCGGCCTGACTTCAATTCACATCTTAACGATTTGTCGTTCCAACATTCGATCCGGAATCATTTAAATGTTTGTCTTGCGCGTACTATGTCTCGAAGTCTGTGTCTCTTTCTATCGCTTTCCTGCCGTTTAAAGCCATATGTTAACCTCGCGTGATGATTGCGATTGTATAATGTTGGTGAAAAAGATTAATGTTCCAAACGCAATTGTTGTATTTTTACACTCGAGAATCGAAACGTTGTGGTCGTACCCGAGTTTAATCGACAAGCCGAGCGGTTGGGCCTCCTCAGGGCCCATTCTTTCTAGATTTGAAGCTTTCGTGACTGCAAGGATTCATACTCTTAGGTTTTTTCGGTAAAGTCACGTAGATAAAACAATAAAATAAAAATTATAGGCCCATTGTGGAGACGCGCAGAGTTGCTGCTCCAACCGAGCTTGTAGAACTAATGACAGGTTGATTCAAATCGTAGCTGCAGTTATACTTCTTCTTGGTTCTTTCGGTAAAGTCACGTAGAAAGAACCAGGAAGAACCAAGAAGATGAATCCCTGCAGTCACGAAAGCTTTAAATCGAAATGCAGTGATACTGTCACGAAGTATTGGCTGTACCCGTCCTTGTTTACAAACTTTTGAAGGTTTTTTTTATATATAGCGAGCGATTGTTGTATAAATATAACTGGGGCGGAGCAGAGTTGGCGTATTTGGTTAACCCTACAGCATCTTCATCGCCACGAGAGGCCTGGCCATCGGTGTTCAGTCAGCTCCCACACACGGCTAACGTCAGTGGCGAATGCGAAATTGTAGTTGTTGCTCTGAATCTACATCAGCCGTCCGAAATTAGAAGTGGTGGCGAACGATATCTGAATCGGTCTCAGGCTTACCTCACTGCAGGAATCCACCCCTAATGGGCGTTTGCGAAAGAACTTCATAGCTCATCGGATTTATCCGGGATCAATAAAGATACTGATTCTGACCAACCTGGCACTGTATGTCAATCAACCATCGTCGCTCTTGGGTGGAGCCCTTCATCCAGAGTGGTTTGACGAGGTGTTGCACATCGTTATGCTGTATTATTGTGTTGTCATCTAAGCTCGACAATATAATTCAGGAGAGGATGTTTGGCCAATTCCATTTCGTGTTTAAATGTTTGGTGGGATGCTGTAAATGGCTGTGAATCGATTCGTTCTTAAATGTATATTCTTCAGCTCATTATGCGTGCGTTAATTTGCACCTGTGTAATTTTCCTAAATGCAGATATTGATGGGACGGTAAAAAAAATTAGGAGTTGCAAAGTTTACAATTGAGACGGCGCAGGCAATACAAGCAATACTATACATATGAGGAGACGATACAAATCTGATAATATAAACAAGACGATGTAATTGGTTCCAGAAACGAATTGGTTCTGGTTGTGGCAGTTCATCTTAAATATGCAGAGGGGTGGGTCATTGTTGCTTTTTGACCTGCGGATAACAATCGGCAAGAGGGTGGCGATTATTGTCTGATCAGGTTGGGAAATAAGTACGATTGGAGTACCTTGAGTCCGCGTGAAAGCCTTTGTGTTTTGAGAATGATCCACGAAAACAGATATCAAAGAGCTACCATCAAACGATGATGGCTGATGGATTACTTTCTCGTGGTGGAATAGCAACAAAGCAGAGAACACGCATGAGATGATTACTCCCAACAGAACAGGAGTGATGAGAGTCTAGCTCATACACAGGACAAGGTTTCAGTTTTCAGTTTCATTTATTTGGTATAGCCCTGTGAGCCATTCGGCTCTTGAATCGGGTGCAACCGCAACAAACAAAAAACATGAACAAAAAAACATCTTAAAGTGACTAAGCGCGAACAGAAAAATCCAGGAAAAAACAGCAAAAAATCTTCCAGAAAAAAGCACCAACGCTCTGTGCAAAAATCCCAGTGGGATGCAAGTCAAACAACAAACAACCACAAGACAACTTAGATCAAAGCCATCATTCTAACTCCGCACTACAACAAACAAACATGGCCAAACCCCAAAGCTTTTCGAAACACCAAAATAAAGCCATAAAAGCAATGCAACAGCCATAAGAACTGTGACCGAAATTTCACAATAAACGACATAACAACATGTACCACCAAACCCTGTAGCCATAGCTGGCTGCATGAGTTACTCCACAACAGTAGGAGCATCAGTATGAGTATAACAAAATTTCAATGCACCTTTAAAGATTAGCACACTAGGTAGACTATAGCATCCCAGGACAGTGTGGTATAGCGACGGTGTGGTGAGCTGTACGTCAGCAGTTGATATAAATTGACTGATGAATGTGAAATAATGTATTTATTAATATTTAATTATTGTGGTGCCTTTAATGCTTTAATGCATTTGAATTGACTGCATACTCTGTATTGATAGATGGATGGGGCAGTGTTGTAAGTGCCCCTTTCATATTGAAGAGGATTGTCTAATTTTATCAGCATCATCCAATACTGGCTTGGCATCAAGTGGACATTACGTATTCCTTTGGCAGGACCTCGTTTTTTTCTTCTTCACAAAACACACATTGTTGACCTCCCACGAAGTGGTGGAAACTCTGTATTGCAATGGTAGGAGAGAATGTGGGCACATGCAAATGAGAGCTGTAATGAAATTACGAACACGTGATTTAACAATTGTGCAAAGTCCGAAGCATCACTACAGA